ATGTGTGATTGAAAATTAATTTGAGAAAAAATTGAATTTTAAAGAATTTGTACCAAGTATAGGGTTAAGTGGTGAACAATACTTTAAAAAAAAAAATAAGATAATATAATCATCTTGGGAAACGGTTCGAAAGGTTACTTAAATACACAAGTCGTGCTCGAACTTATCATAGTAAGATAATGAGTACAATTCAACAGATATGGAGTTTGTAAGTGTGCATCTTCAATACATTATATGCATTGCTATATTGATGGCGGGGAAGTGGAAAGATTTTCAATGTATGTTGAATTGATATCAAATACGAGACGTTCAAGTTTAAAATTAATTTCAAATGCATTCTAAGAATCACAATATAAGTACATTTTATTATGTTCAAATAAAAATAAAATCACATCAAGCTTGCCTCGTTGAGGAAGTTTTTATATATAAGTTAAATTATAAATATATAATAATGAATGGTGAATAAGTGAATAGTACATGTGAATTTCACGAAATGTGTAGATAAAAAGTGATTTCATTGATTACAAACAATTTATAAAAAGTAGCCAAACATTAACGAAATATTTATTTGTTGTTGAGTCGTTCTGTCTAAAAAAATCTCCTGAATCCAGACTAAGTTTTATACATTATCTATTTTTTTTCACATCATTCATTTTGACGGAATCTCAATCAACTTACGCTAGAGATGATTTTTCTTTAAAATAAAATATCTTCAATTTTCATTTATGTGGCAAAACAAAAACAAAAAAAGAGAACAATTCACGGTTGCTTTGAAGATGCTTTTATGCTCGACTAGACATGATTATTGCAGTCCGAACCTATGTATTATGTAACATGTAGATAAAATACAACAAAAATCAAAAATCAAGAAGTATAATAACTTACTAACTCTAAGAATGAGGATGCTATAGTTGCACAAGTATGGGTTGTCCTATGTAGTCTAAGAGCCCTCAACTAGCTATCATATTATCACTTGACTTGACATGCAACAACTTAATTCAAGCATGACATCATTTGTGTGTTGCGACTAATCAAATTGATAAGTCCTTCCTATAAGAAATCTTATAATGGGAGACAAGCATCGCATATCAATATCAATGTATGTAATCATTTAACAAATCCCACAACTAATCTTAGTTTCTACAATGTTCATTTACACTTCTAAGGTCAAAATTATAATTCTAAAAAATTGAGGAAAACAAGGGGCAGGTTAAGCCAAAACTAGGGGTGGTAATTGAATCAAGTGATTCGTGAGCTCGGCTCGGCTCGGCTCAACTCAGGCTCATATTTTTTTCACGTTTCGATTTCGTTTGGAATCGTGAGTAAGAGTTAACGAGCTGTCTCATTTGGGCTCATCTTTACAAGTCAGGTCGTTTGGACTCGTGGGTCGAATCGTTTTATTT